AACTCTGCTAACAATCCTTGAAGCCATATCAATTCTTTACTGGCTTCTGTCACTGCTACATACTCAACCTCTGTTGTGGATAGAGCAACAATCTTTTGTACCCGCGACATCCAACTAACAGCTGTAGCTCCAACAGTGAAAACATAACCGGTGGTGCTTCTTCGGTGATCAACTTCACCTCCAAAGTCTGCATCTAGTAGCCCTGTAACTTTAGATCTCCCTTTCTAAAGTACAGACACTTTTCTGTTGTGCCTCGTAGATATCTCAAGATCCATTTGACTGCTTCTCAATGAGCTTTTCCTGGTTTTGACATAAACCTGCTCACAACTCCCACTGCATGGCCAATGTCTGGCCTTGTACAGACCATCGCGTACATCAAACTCCCAATGGCTGAAGCATAAGGAATCATAGCCATGAACTCTTCTTCTTCTTTTGTTTGAGGAGACTGATCCTTGGATAGACAAAAATGGCTGGCCAAAGGTGTACTGACTGGTTTGGCCTTGTCCATGTTAAATCTCTGCAAAACACGGTTGATGTACTCTGCCTGAGATAACTGCAAAACTCCCTTTTGCTTATATCTCGTGATTTGCATTCCAAGAATCTTCTTCGCTGGACCTAAGTCCTTCATGTCAAATTCTTTTGACAACTGCATCTTTAAATTTCTGATGTCTTCCATATTTGATCATGCTACTAACATGTCATCGACATAAAGTAGCAATATGATATAGCTGGACTCATATTTCTTGAAGAAACAACAGTGATTAGCATTGCACTTCTGGAAGCCTTCCTTGTGCATGAAACTTTCAAACTTTTTGTACCACTGTCTTGGAGCTTGTTTAAGGCCGTATAAGCTCTTCTTCAATTTGCACACCATATCCTTCTTTCCTTCTGAAAAACCTTCAGGCTGGTGCATATAGATCTCCTCATCTAGGTCTCCGTGAAGAAATGCAGTCTTCACGTCTAATTGCTCTAGATAGAGCTCTTCACTAACCACAATACTTAGCACAGTCCTGATAGTATTGAGCTTTACAACTAGAGCAAAGATTTCAGTATAGTCAATTCCTTCTTTCTGCTGAAATCCTTTGACAACCAGTCGGGCTTTGTATCTCTTGGAACCATCATGGTCTTCCTTCACCCGATACACCCATTTGTTGTGAAGCGCTTTCTTTCCCATGGGTAACTTGACTAGTTCCCATGTCTGATTTGAGATCAAGGACTTCATCTCGTCCTTCATGGCAAGCTCCCACTTGCTCGCATCTGTGGTTTGACAAGCCTCCTTATAATCTTCAGGTTCTCCTCCATCAGTTAACAACATGTAGTCCATGTATCTCCTGTTAGGCACATGGGGCCGAGAGGACCTTCTCAATACAGGAGCTAGAGTTGAAGCTTCTGATTGCTCACCGCTTTCTTCATTTGATTCCTCTGACCGAGGATTCCTTATTACAGGAATGTCTGTGATACCTTCCACCTCTGCATAAACTGGCCCACTCGCTTCTGAGTTGCTGGCACTTGTGTTATGCCGGTCCTTGTACATCACTCTTTCATTAAAGATGACATCTCTACTGCGGATCACCTTTTTGGTTTCATCATCCCATAAACGGTAGCCAAACTCATCTTCACCATAACCAAGGAAAGTACATTTCTTTGATTTTGGATCAAGTTTGTTTCTGCCTTGATCACTGATGTGCACATATGCTACACACCCGAAAACTCTAAGATGTGAGAGTTTTACTTCTTTTCCGCTCCATACCTCTTCTGGTAACTTGTAATTCAATGGTACCGATGGACTTCGGTTGACCAAGTAAGTTGCTGTGTTGACTGCTTCTGCCCAGAACTCCTTCGGTAAGCCTGACTGCATCCGCAAGCTTCTGGCTTTTTCAGTCAACGTTCGATTCATACGCTCAGCTACACCATTGTGTCGAGGCGTACCAGGCACTGTTCTCTCCATTCTGATCCCGTGCTCATAGCAAAACTTCCTAAATTTGGTGGTTACGTATTCACCACCATTGTCGGATCTGAGCTTCTTGATCTTTAAACCTGTCTCATTTTCCACCATAGATTTCCAAATCTTGAAAGCTTCAAATACTTATGACTTGTGTTTCAGAAAGTAAACCCATACTTTTCTGGAGTGATCATCGATAAAGGTCACGAAGTATTGCTTCCCACTACCGGATGGGACAGTCGTTGGGCCCCAAACATCTGAGTGGATGAGCTCAAGCTTCTCCTTCTTTGGGGTTCTTCTACTTGTCTGAAAGCTGACTCTTTTATGCTTTCCAAGTATACAATCTTCACACATGTCAATTTCTATTGACTGAAGGCCTGGTAATTTTCCTTTTGAGTGAATGATCTTCATCCCCTTTTCACTCATATGCCCAAGTCTTTGGTGCCATAGATTGGGACTTTCTTTTGCTGCAACTGCAATCAGATGGCATGCTCCTGTTGTCTTGTAAAGAGTACCACTCTTTTTGCCTCGAGCAATTGTCATCGCACCCTTTGAAATCTTTCAATCGTCTCCGTGGAAGATTGTCGTGTAGCCTTCACTGGCTAGCTGGCCCACCGAGATTAAATTCTTCGTTAGGTCGGGAATATGTCTTATGTTTTTCAATTCCCATACAGACCCGTTCAACTTGATTTTTATCGCACCTTTGCCTACAACCTCACATGATTGCTCATTACCAAGGTAAACCTTACCAAGATTTCCAGGAACATAGTTTTCGAATAATTCCTTCTGTGAGGTAGCATGAAAGGATGCTCCAGAGTCTAACACCCAAGACTCTTCTATGTTCTCCAAAGAACATATCAGCAAGTCTTCTCCTGAGACTGAAGCAACATTTGCCTCTTCTTTTGCCTCCTGGTTCTTTGGTGCACTCTTGCACTGGTTTTTGTAGTGTCCGGTCTTCCCACAATTCCAGCACTCGATTGACTTCGAGTTTTGGGAATTACGATGATTTCTGGACTTGGACCTCCTTCCCTTTGATTTGTTGTGCCTGCTTTCTTTGGTTGAACTTCTTCCTCTTGACTCTGTATGCAATACAGAAGAGGTCGATGGTTCACCCGACTCCCTCCGTCGAATCTCTTCACTGAGAACCAAATTTTGGACATCATCAAATCTCAACTTATTGCTTCCCGACGAGCTACTCACAGCCGTGACCGTAGCATTCCAACTTTCTGGTAGGGAAGGCAAAAGTATTAAAGCCCGTACTTCATCATCGAACTCGATCTCAACTGAACTCAACTGAGTTGTAACGGTGTTGAGCTCATTGAGATGATGTGCCACCGAAGCACCTTCGGTCATACGCAAGTTGAACAATCGCCTCACAAATGAACTTTGTTTGAGGCTGATGGTTTCTCGTACATGTTGGAAAGAGCCTTCATGAGGCCTGCTGTCGTCTTTTCTTTTGCAATGTTAAAGGCAACATTACGGGATAACGTCAGCCGAATGGCTCCAAGGGCCTGTCATTCAAGGAGACTCCATTCTTCCTCCTTCATGTCTTCTGGCTTCTTTCCCGTGAGTGGTTGATACATATTCTTCTGGTACAGATAATCCTCGATCTGCATCTTCCAGAAGCCAAAGTCCGCACCATCGAACTTTTCGATTTTCATTTTTCCTTCGTCTGCAGCCATCACTTCGTATCTGATCTGACTTCTCTGCCGGATTGTTTCTGTAATTTTTGTGAACTACCGTGTTTCAGAACACGTCGGTAGATAAATTTGTAGCGCCGACAAATTTGACACTATTCCCGTTTTTCACTATTCACGGAATAGTAACCGACACAAAAAAAAAATACAGATTTAACAATCTGGCTCTGATTGTTGGGAAAAATACGCTGAAATTTCCATGAAGTCGGATCTATAAAAGTGAAATACAAAGAAAAATTGGACACACCAAATTGATAACGGAGTTCGGCCAATAATGCCTACGTCTCCGGACTACTGCGGATATTTTATTAGGAGAAAGAAAACACTCGTGTTTACAAAACACTCTTAAACTCACTCATAATTCACAACTCAAAAATACACAAAGGCTAGATTTTTTTTTTCTACCTCACTCCTTTTTTTTCTCTCGTATTTTTGGTTCTTCTTGGTGTTCTTCTTGCTTCAAAATGTGCTCCTATTTATAGCTGAAAATGGTGCAAAGTTTCAGTTGCAAATTTAATGCTCCGCTACCAATATTAATGTTCAGCCTCCAAAATTGCACAGCCACCAAGTTAATTGCATAGCAGAGCCTCCAAATTAAATGCAGCCTCCAAATTAATTCAGCCACCATCATTAATTTCAAGCCACCATCATTAATTGCCTCGTGCAGCCACCAAAATTAAATGTGGCCCCCCAAATTGTCTCTTATCAGATCATCTTCTTTACTTACTCATCACTGTTCTTATTTTCATTCCACGCTTCTACTCGTCCTGCTTTGGTACCATGAAAACTTTGAGAAATAAACATTTTGAGCTCACACATATTTTGGGATTTTTCTGCCATTTTTCTTCTCATAATCGAGCTTACACATATATGTTCTTCCTCATATATTTAAAACTAACAGCTCAAGATTGGTTAAGATATAACCAATGAGACAAACTCACACGGGGTCTTGCTGAACAGCTAAAACAAAAGAAAAGAAAACTCGTGATATTCTACAAGTAAACCACGAGTTTAGTGAAAAGGAAAAAGAACAGGTGAAATAAAAGGCATGAAACCACACACAAATTGAGCTTTCTACGTCTGCATGATGATGCTCCCAACTCCATGAAGCCAACAAAGCCAACATGGCAACACAGTGCTACTGGGAAGATTTGAACGATCAAATTTCTATTGCCTTCAAGTTCCAAATGTAAAAGAACATCATTTTCTACAACTGCCGATGTACAAAAAATTATGCCTCCAATTCTACGAAAAAAGATGCAATGTTAAAAAAAAAATCCATCGATCTAGTCCAAAACCAGTCAATAACTCTACAATGCAGCATCAGTAAGAAAAACATGCCATCTTCAAAAGAGACAGAATCACTGGTCCCGATATTCCTGCTTCAGAAACCAACACGACCCATTCGGGCCCCTCTCCAAGGTGGCGATTTCCTTGAGAAGATTCTTGAACAGGGGCAGATCCTTGGAAGGTATCCTATCCTTGAAGTGATCGACTATGCTGACAGAGCTCGTGCTCCCACCCTGCCGCTGGATAAACGTGCAGATCTGACGAATCAGGAGCTCAGGCTGCACCCGTAAGTCCCCGGATGTTCTAGAAGGCCCGGACACAGTAGTAAACTGATGCTCGAGCCCGTCACCATCAGCCCGGGCCTGGGTCCCTCTGATCTTAGCCAGAAGCTCTGCCGAGGACAAGGCCCTGCCGGAGGATGCGCCGGCGGCAGGCCCGTTGGAAGTCGCGGGCTGGCTTTGGGTGACCGTCAACTGGGGATTGAGAGTGGACCCGAATTTTCTCATGGAGGGAGGGGCCCCAGCAGCGCCCGAGCGGCCAGTCCAGGTGGGGATGGAGATGCTGTCCCGGCTGCGGAGCATGCGGGACTGGCGGAGGGCCTCAGCAGCCCTCTGGGCGACCCGGGAGGCATGTTCCTCCAGCTTTGTCTTCTCCTCGTCGTTAGCGTTCATGATGGCATCGTGATTCACAGCACTCTGGGCAGTGGGCAAAGCAGACACGTGC